TATATGTGAAACGTGCTGACAAAATTAGTTACTTCTCAGATTTTAGCCCGATGGAAATAGAAACATCAAATTTTTAGATTGAAGTTTTACAATTTATCAGTATGAAATGATAAAAGACATGTTAAACTAGAAGAGAATGGCATTGGCTAAGAGTCTACTTATATGACCCTTGTGTTGATTTTTGGTTGATATCTCCATTCACGGATTGCGAGAAGTAACTCATTTTGTTAGCACGCCTCACATATCTGTCTTGAGAAGAAGGACCTTATGTTAGTGGCCTTGTTCTTCAGGGATGCCAAATGATTTTTAAAAAGAAAACCTGAAAAACCTGAGATGTGGCATCCCTGTCAGTACTGTAGGCCTATTAATTGCTATAAGTACTATTGCTAACCGTTCCTACCCCTCCGAGCTCCTCCTATTCCTACCACGACACACCTTAAATTCTCTTACCCCTAACCATAGCCTAAACCCTACCCTAACTTTAAAAATTACTATCCCTGGAGTATTAAATTCTTGGCTCTTTGGGCCAGAACAAGAACATTTGTTTTAGAAGTTTTATAATAATTTATTTGTATCTCAACACACGTAAATTTTGACAGTTAGCCTATAGTTCAAAACCTTTGTTTTCAATTAATACTTTTTTCTGTCTAAATCATTACATTTTAATACTGGGAGTTACTTTAGAGGATTCCACGTGATCATGTTAAGGGTAGGCCAACATTGACATACTTCAGACGAGAGGTCTTAGTAGCCAAACGGTAACCTCATTAATAATTGTTAAAGAACAATTCAAAATATGTTTCTATACATACTTTATTATAAGATAAGATAGATAAGATAAGATACATCTTTATTGCCCAGATCCTGGAACATTTGTTTGGTGTTTCACCACGTGCACACACACACACACACACACACACACACACACACACACACACAGGCCTACATGAACATACATGCACTTAGGTCCAGCTGCACATAATTGCTTCCATCCTGCCATCTCAGATTAGTTTAGACCCACCAGAAGTTTGTGAAACTAAAGATATGATACATTGCCGCCTTTGTCTCGGTCATGACAACGGTTGCTATGGACGCAACTAGCCTTGGTCAACTCAGTATGTAAAAAGAAAACATGCGTACAGGGTAAATATGTGAGGCAGCGTGGTGGAATCAGGCTCTCGTCAAAATAATCAAAGTGAAGAAACTTGCATTTTTCCGCAGGTTTGAGAATTTATATCATTTTTTAAAATTTTTGGTTCAACACCTTTCATGCCCATTAAAGAATTTATTTCTGTGTGGGTTTTTTCTTTAAAATGTAGATTAAAGGCACAAAAAATGTAAATTTTCAGTTACCGCGGACTCTAAAGTTAAAGAAATAACTAATCTTTGGCGCCCATTTTCTCACTAATTCTACCTCTGAAAACATGTGACCCCCAGCTCCTTCAATTGCAAATATCTCGACTTGTATTCAAGATAAATAGATATTTTTTACATTCCAAATAAAGACAAGTGAAAAAGCTTTAAGATAATACCAATAACTCTACATGCCCCAAAATTGATTCCACCACGCTGCCTCACAAATAGTAAATAGATTCCGCTTCCCAACACCCCTTTTTAGTGTATGTTTGCACAATATTCCCAACAAATCAAAGGGACGACATGAGGCAGATCCCCCACGGGACGACTTGCGGTGGTTAACTAGTAGGCCTAACTGCAGCCCGTCAGCCATGCTCTGATTGGTTACAAGGTTCAAACATAACGTGCATACATACACGCATGCATGCATATCTAGATCTAGGCGAAGTTCTTCTATCAATGCTAATCTATCATTTTTACAATTTAAATTTATTTTTTATCAGTAGGTCCTCTATTTTTAAAAAAAATCAGTAATATCTTCCAGGATGAAGAGATCTTGATCTAGAATTTAGACGATTGAAATGTAATTGTGCTGCAAAACTTTTATTTGTATACAAGTGGATCAAGATCTGGATCTAGATCTACATCTAGATTCTACATCTGTTTTAGACAATCAAAATTTTAAAATTTTAGTCTGGATTGGATATCGCAAATACCTCGTTAACACATCACTGTGTTTACGACAGTGATGCCTGACGGTTCTTCCAGTTCCCAAACTTCAATATGTATGACCATATTATTATCACTATAATTCTCGCTCAGATTCTCCGTTACATGAGTAGTGAGTACAAAATTATGTAGATCTAGCTGAATACTGAATAGTGAAAAAATATGAATATGATTAAATATCAACACCCAAATTTTTTCATGGCTTCGCGTTCGAAGTGGGATAGTACATGTAGCAAATCTAGTTAAACTTAAAAACGAAGAAACATAAATTAATGTGCGATATCTGCTTTTTGACGCGGTTCCCAGGAAATAATCAAATTATAGCGCTAGAAAGTCGTCATAATTTGAGTTCGGAAATTTTACATATTAAACCTAAAAAATGCAGAAATCTCAAGTCAAAATATGCGACAATTACGGTCAAAGGGAAACAACAAAGAATAATACTATGAAAAATAGTTATAACAGATTTGCTTCCCTTAAACTTTAAATTGGACCAATTACGTCATTGTTCTTTGGGCACACACTTTCTTATTACGTCATCATTCTTTGTGTAAACACATACGTTATCATTCATTGAGTACAATAAATTATCTTTTTTTTTTCCGCTCGTTGGGTTAATTTTAAAGTTATTCTTAGTTGTTTCCTTTGACCGTAGCATTTCTTCGCAGATTTACTCGTCGGCGCGGTCGATGATATGACCGAAAGATTCTAGATCTAGATCTAGATCTAGATCTAGAATCTAGATCTAGGTTAACTTTTGCAGCCTTTTGAAAATCTATACTTCTCGATCTAGATTAGATCTAGATATAGATCTAGATCTCTAATCCCTCCGCGCATTTCGAATTTTCTCAACCTTTCACGTCAAATTTACACTTAGAATCTAGCATAACGCTTTGACATTAGATCTAGATAACGAAAATCGCTTTGACATTAGATCTAGATATCTAGATCTAGATATCTAGATTCTAGATCTAGATCTAAATCTAGATTATCTAGATATGGCCTATATTGGGCAGGACCTGGAACATATTTAGATCTAATCTAGAAGTCTAGATCTTGGTCTTGATCTAGATCTAGATTTCTAGATCTAGATTTTCTAGATTCTAGATATCTAGATCTAGAATCTAGATTAGATAGACCTGGATCAAGAAATAAAGCAAATGACAAGCCTAGATCCACCTGCAGCGGTATAGATCTAGATCTACGACGAGTTTTCTCCACATCTCGCCCTTTGATGTTTTGTACCTTAGTGATTCCATAGCAACCAATATCATTCTACAAAGCAAAGTTAAGCCGTTGCCAACTTCCCCTTTGATATGCACGGTATCTAGATCTAGATTTTCTAGATCTATTACTTTTATATGACCATCAAAATGAACGATTGCTTGCTGCGCTTGTTTGAAATCTTGACTTACCTTCTGTGGTGAAGCCATTTAGACTAGATATATTTATCTAGATCTAGATCTAGATTTAGATCTAGATTCTAGTTGTATCATTTTTCCATGTCATGGTATTTCGTTATTTTTTACTTTTTACCGCCTCGGGCAACAGTTAAAGTTTGGTGTGACATGCAAAAGCTGGATTTGTATCGTTTCGCCTAAAAGACGAATGCAAATTATGCAGTAAATATCACCCTTACAAAATTATAATAACTACAAAATGACTTGAAAATGTGTTTTGCATTCTTATTTACCTTCTTCATTCAATTTTGTCAAAAATGTATCATATTATTTGTTCCGTAGGGGGTTTCCGGGCACAAGCTAAGGGGTCTTAATCCTAAAAGTTTTCCCCTTCAATAATATTTACACAGTTATTTCTCTTTGACCGTAAATCGAGTATTTCTTCACGCTTTGATTTTTTTTTTTTAATTGTTTTTCTGTTTTTCACACACATGAGTGTTTTTGTGTATCAGATGTATAGAGTATAGAGCCCACTTTTTAAAACAAAATTTTAACTCCAAAACGATTCTTGTGATTTAATCTTTACTTCAACCTCAGCTTCTAATGAAACGTTAGTGAGTTGTGGCCTATTCCTTAATTCTTTGATGAGTAAAAATAGGCTAAGTTACATTTGGCATCTTGTAACTTCCTTTTACAATGAAGAGAAATCATGTAATTTAACACCTGTAGTGTAACGGTTGGGTTCTGTACTGTTGTATGCAGAAGACGTGAGTTCTTTGTTTGTTTTGTTTTTGTAAAGTGTTTTACGGTGCTCGCAACTGCATAGGTCATATGAGCGCGCGGGACACTCCTAATATTTTCAGTTGGTAGGAAATTTTGAATTTTGCCCGGGTGGCGGCCGAAGCCTACTCTTATCGATTTTAGACCACCAAGGGATCTTTAACGTGCGCAACTTGCACACGGGCCCTCCGAGATTTTTCGCCCTTGTCCGAGAAGGCTAGGTGTAGATCTTTCCTACCAGAAGATCAGGGGTGTGGCAGAAAGACAGCAGTAAGGAGGAGCCAAGGAGTAGCAGTAGAAAGGCTGCAGAAAGAGTCAGGAGCCCAGAGGAGGGGGCAAAGGAGGTGAGGGGGTGGGGGCAGAAAGTGGAAATGAAAGCAGACAACAGAACATTGCTAGAGAGCAGGAAAGGGGGTGAAAGGAGACAATTTTAGAGAAGAAACTTTTTCGGTCGCTACCCGGATTCGAACCCGGGACCTATGAATGAGAGGCCAACACCTCAACCTCGAGGCCACGAGAGCCCCCGACGTGAGTTCGATTTAGATAGATAGATAGATAGATAGATAGATAGATAGATAGATAGATAGATAGATAGATGGATGGATGGATGGATGGGTGGGTGGATGGATGGATGGATGGATGGATGGATGGAAGGAATGATGGATGTCGGAACTATTACTAGACTCTAAGTTGTTTTTAACATCAATAAACAAACCAACATATACAGCTTTTTTTAATGTATGTTTATTTTAATGTAGATTTTGTTCTACACCATAATATACCCCGAAAAACACAATTTAGATTATCATTTAAAAGGTAGTCTTCTACCCTGGCCCTCAGGGTCAACCCAAGCTGAGAGGGGCGGAACATCCCTGGATCAATATATTCGACAAAAAAATTTCACCACATGAAAATCAAACTTGGGTGTCCTGTGTGCAACAGCGAAGCATCTGTTTCTAACCGTTACACCACAGATGCCAGTGCACAGACAGAGACGGATAGTCAACATACAGGCAGGCAGGGGAGCAAAGTAGTGCAAACTGACAGTCAGAAGAGTCATAATGTGCGTAGGCCTATCATGCAAACAAACAAAGATTATATGATTTATAGCAATACATGTACACAGTGCACACTGCCAATCGGCTTCCTTTGATTCCGTCGGGGCCAGCCAGGTTTTCCATTTTGGCACAACTCGACCGAATCTGTCTAGCCTAAATTCGACTGCAGCCTTCAAAATCAAACAAGATCTAGTTTGTTTTCTTTAAGTTCGCCAATCAAATCGGTTGTATTATTGCTCCAAAACAATAGCTTTTGCCCCTCCCTGAAGGGAAATCTGAATGAACCCCCGCTCAATCCGACAGAGCTTGTACCCAGCTAGCAGTATTCAGTGTATTGTACTGTGGGTACAATGTATTAGCGACCGAATGAACCCAGTTGGCATTGTGCAGTGGGTATTACAATAATAGTAGATTAGCAATCCATCTTATGGTTCCGTCTCCATTAGACTAGTCTGCCCCCACAGTTTTATGAAAAAAAAGTAATCTTGAAATTATGGAAACTGAGCCCAAAAATGTGAAATTATGCGATACTGATAATTTTAACAATTAAATGATAAAGGAAAATAATCAGAAATTATGCAAATAAATGAATCAATTTTGCTAAATTATGCAGGGTGCATAAAACGCCGGGGACAGATTAGTACGGCCGCTCTGGCCTTGTGTCCACGTAACCCTTGACCCTGTGGTCAGTCCTGACCCTGTCCACCAACGCCCTCAGAAGTGGGTACGGGTACAGAGGGGGCAGGAGGGGCGCCAAGAATCCAGTGGTCAGGTCAAACACCGCCAGGTCTGCCAGGCTCAGCTGATGTGGGGAAATATACGTCGATACGTTGTCTGTCTGTTTGTCTATCTATCTATCTATCTATCTATCTATCTATCTATCTATCTATCTATCTATCCATCTATCCATCTATCCATC